TCAAAAAAGTTACTAATATGGGTTTATAAATACTTACCACAGTTGTTGTTGTTAAGTGCTGTCAAGTCGGTTCCTACTCATAGCAACCCTGTGTAGTAGGGTTTCCAAGGAGTGGTTGGTGAGCTTGAACCACAGATCTTGCGAGTCAAACCACCCTTGAGGTCCAGTGTTTATCCTAAAGCTCCACACCAGGAGTCTTATCACAGAACTAAAATACCAGAACATTTGACAAAATCAGTAACTATAAAAACACTGGCAGCAAGGAAACGACAAATAAAACGAAAATACACGATTTGAAGCTTCCTTGTAAGTGGTTAATAACAACAGCTGTGACCTGAGTGCATTGTTGTTGTTAGGTGCCAATAAGTCAGTTCTGACTCATAGCTAGCCTCTGCACAACAGAAGAAGGCACTGCACCATCCTTACAAGTGTTATGTTTGAGCCCATTGCTGCTGCCACTGTACCAGTCCATCTTGTTTTAGATTTTCCTCTGTATCATTGATGCTCCACTTTTCCCACCATGTGATTGATCCCTCAAAGAACAAGAGACAAAGTTTCTTGTTTGGTAGTGTAGAAGGTCAGAGAAAAAGAGGAAGACCCCAGTGAGATGGATTGGCCAGGGGGCAGCATCGATGGACTCAAGCTTGGCAACAATAGTGAGGTTGGCCCAGGATTGGGCATTGTTTCATTCTGCTGTGCATAGGGTCACTATGAGTCGGTACTGACTTGATGGCACCTAACAACAACAACAACAACAGTCCCTAGAGGAGGACATCATGCTGGGTTAAGTGGAGGGTCAGCGAAAAAGAGGAAGACCCCCAACAAGATGGATTGGCACAGTGGCAGTAGCAAAGGGTTTAAGCATAGCAACAATTGTGGAGATGGCGCAGGACCAGGTGTGTTTTCATTCTGTTGTGCACAGGATAGTTATGATTCAGATCCAACTTGGCAGTACCTAGTGACAACAAGGAGTCCTGGTGTGGTGCTGTAGGACAAGCACTGGCCCGCAAGGTTGATTTGAACAGAAAGGTGGCAGTTTAAACCCACCAGCTGCTCCTAGGAATCCCGTACAGGGTTTCTAAGAGAATCCACTCGATGACACTTGACAACAACAACATTAAGAGCCTTGTTTTTCACTAATTCCTTTGGTGCAACATAGATGTCTTCCTTCAGTACCATCAGGTCTTGATCATATGCTACATGTTGAAATGGTTGAGCATCCATCAATTCTTTTTGTTATACTGAATCTGCATATTCCTTCTATTTTCTTTTGTTGCTTTTTGTATAATTCAATATTTTGCCCTTAGAATTCTTCAATATTTTAAATTGAGGCTTGATTTTTTTTTTTCCTTCATTCTTTCTGCTTGAGAAATGCTGTGTGTTCTTCTCTTTTGTCTTTCTAACTCCAAGTCTGTGCACATTTCCTTATAATACTTTGTTGTCTTGAGCTGTCCTGTGAAATGTTCTGTTCAGCTCTTTTATTTCTTTATGTCTATCATTCACCTTAGGATCTTTAGACTGGAGAGCAAGTTTCAGAGTCTCTTTGTCTTTTCTTCCTTTCCTGTTTAATGACCATTGGCTTTCTTCGTGTATCATGTACTTGAAGTCACGCCACAACTCTTGTGGTTTTCGGTCCTTAGTGCCTAATGTAGCAAATCTGTTCTTAAAGCTGGTTTCTAGTTCCAGGTGGGATATACTCAAGGTCATAATTTAGCTCTCATAGATATGTTTTAATTTTCTTCAACTTCAGCCTGAATTTGCTTATAAACAATTGATGATCTATTCCATAGATGGTCTCTGGTCTTGTTTTGACTGATGATACAGAGGTTCTCCATTGTCGCTTCAGGGTCACCATGCATGGAAATAACTCAGCAGCACTTAACAACAACAACTATGTATTCCATCTGGTGAGGTTCACATAAATAGTCCTTGTTAATATTATTAAATGATAATGTTAATGCATTGAGTAAGCCCTTGGGCTTGCAAAATTCTATCATGTGATCACCAGCAACATATCTTATCACCAAAATTATATTTCCCAAATATTGACCCTTCCACTTTGTTTTCAACTTTTACATTCCAATCACCAGTAATTAACAATGCATCTTCTTTTAAATTTAGATAATAACTTTCAAAAAAAGTTTTTATTGTGAATTGAGTGATAGTTTATATGACACCAATGCATCTTGATTGCATGTTTCATCAATTTAATGAAGAAGTTGGTAGAATTTTTTAAATTTAATCATCATTGGCTTTAGTGATGGGTATGTAAATTTGAATAATAGTTGTATTTACTGGTTTTCTTTGTAGACATATGGATGGATATTCTACCACAGACAGCATTGTATTTCAGGACAGATCTTGAAGTTCTCTTTTTGATGATGAATGTGACACCATTCCTCTTCAATTTGTTGTTTCCAGATTCTGATTGTCCAATATCAGTCCATTTCATCTCACTGATTCCTAGGATATCGACCTTTATGTATTTCATTTCATTTTTTGATAACTTCCAATGTTCCTAGATTGATACTTGTACATATCATGTTCTAATTATTAATGGATGTTTGCACTAATTCTTCTTATTTTGAGTTGTGCCACGTTAGCAAATGAAGGTTCCAAAAGATTTGCCCCATTTACGTCATTAAGGTCAACTCTACTTTGAGGAGGTAGACACAAAAAATAGACTCAGTCATATTTTGAGTGTCATCCAACCTGAAGGGTTCACCTTCCAGCACTATGTCTGACAACAGTCCACTGCTACTCATAAGGTTGGAGTCCTGCTGCATGCTGTAGAATAAGCACTGGACTGTTAACTGCAATTTAAACTCAGCAGCCACTCCTCTGAAGCCAGATACAGAGTCATTATGAGTCGGAACTGGCTCAACAGCACTTAACAACAACAACATAACCGCTCAGAAGTGGTCTGCTTCTCCTTCTTCCTAGTCTGTCTTAGTCTGGAAACTCTGCTGAAACCTGCCCACCATCGGTGACTCTTCTGGTATTTAAAATCCCAGTGGCATAGCTTTCAGCATCGCAGAAGCATGAAAGTAACCACAGTATGACAGACAAGTGGTGGTGAGTACACTGTTCTTGTTAAGTGCCTTCAAGGCGGTTCGAAAACTCATAGTGATCCTGTATAGGGTTTCAGAGGAGCAGCTGGTGAATTTGAACCACCGACCTTGCAGTCCAATGCATTATTCCACAGCACCACACCAGGACTCCTGGTGAGTGCATTAGTAGGGTCAAAAAGTAAATTAGCATAGTGTTTTAGAATTGTAGGATTATTGATACATGCAAGCTAGGCTTACAAAAATGTTTTTTGTTGTTATAACTAACGAAAGGGCTATTTTTTATTTAAAAAAAATAATGTCCGTTGAAACACTGCACAGAAATTTTGCAGTCATTTTGGTCTCACCCATCTGGCAGTGTCATCCTCCAGCACAGTTGGCCTCCTGCTTGAAACCGCTCCTTAGAGGCCAAGGTCGCCAAACTTTGTCTCTCATACTTCGGACATATTGTCAGGAGGGACTAGTCATTGGAGAAGGATATCATGTTTGGTAAGGTGGAGGGTCAGAGAAAAAGAGGAAGACCCCCAACAAGATGGATTGGCCAAGTGGCAGTATCGATGGACGCAAGTGTGGCAACAGTAGTGAGGTTGGCCCAGGACTGGGCAGTGTTTTGTTCTGCTGTGAGTCGGTACCAACTTGATGGCACCTAATAGCAACAACTCCACGGCACATAACAACAACAACAACAATAGCAACAAAACATATAAAGAAAGTTCATTTTAGAATCTGCACTGGGTCAGCATCTTAAATTCTGTCATATACAAGGAGGTTTTCAAAAGTTCGTGGAAACATTCTTATCTTTTCATTCTATTTGTTCATGAATTTTTTTGATGCCCTCTCTTACTCTGGGAATTCAAGGGTAAGGTGCAAACTAGATGTCTTATAGGTTTTTATTTTGCATTTCAACCTTCAGTGTTGGTGCAGACCCAAGCCACAATATCTGTTGTCACTTGCTCACAGGGTTAAAGCCTCTGGCATATTTGGGTGCCCACAAGTGGGAAGGATCAGGAGGTGGGCAGCTTGAGGGCCTCCTGCAGTCACAAGACAGAATGTTGCATTGGGAGTCATGTTCCTGAGGATGATGTATGGGACTGAAGTTTGGAGTTGGTACCCTCAGACATTACAGCTGCGTAATTGTTTACTTCCGGTTTGCAGCTCTTGGGGGAGCTGAGACTGTACTAAGACACATGTTCCATAATTATTTCTTGCACTGGATAGAGGCGTACGGTACATGACAACGACCACACGAGTTTGAGTCAGAGAACTTGAGTCTACAGCAAACTGGGTAACATTAGTTTACCCTAAGGACAATGATTGCACTTCAGGGGGACTGAGAATGGAGTCTTTGTCATGACTGCAATTGTACCCAAATCTATGGTCATGGATGCCAGAGACTCCCGCACTCCCGGGTCCAGGCACTCGCAGGCGGACAGGCACCCCTGAGTGGGCTGAGAGGTCAGGTATTGCAGGTGTGGGAGTGGACGCGGTTGGAATGGAGAGGCTCTCTCGGGAATTCGGGTGGACGGTAGCATAGCGCCCTTCTGGGCGAGCCAGCAGAGAGGCATCTCCTGGTCAGTGTGAGGGTCTCTTCCCCCTCCCAGTGCCGGAGGCACCCCCACAGCCTAAGCCCCGTGCTAGCGCTGCGGGACCCCGAGAGGCACCCGCCATAGGCTGAGCCTCCGACCGCTGCCCCACTTTTCCCGAGGCTCACGGGGCCCCTCACAGGCTCCCTGCGCCCCCTGGGGCGCGGAGCGCTAGGCGCGGCGCCGGGGGCGGAGCTTCACAGGGAGCCCCCGGATTGGCGTCAGGAGGCGGGGGCGTGGCCAGCCTAGGAGAAAACTGCCCGCGCGGCCGGGTTCAGCTCCAGCGCACAGCCTGAGTGCATAGAATAGCTCTCCCCCGTCAGTCCTCTCCGGTACTTGGGATCGCGGAGTGGCCGGCTCGCTTCTCCCCGCTGCTCCGCGGTAGCACGAGCCTCCTCAGGCCCTCAAGTCCGGTTCCTCACTCTGCAGTCCCTGGAGAGGTGATGCGTCTCATTCAGAACATGTGCACCATCGCCGAGTACCCGGCTCCAGGCAGCGCCGCTGCCGCAGACTACTGCCTAGGAGCCGCGGGCCGCCGCCTGGTCAAGATCGCGGTGGTGGGGGCCAGCGGTGTGGGCAAGACGGGTGAGACCTCATGCTCGGCTCTTCTTTGGGGCTGGCTAGGGGCGGGGGGCGGGGGGGAGGGGGGAGAGGCGGCAAGAGGCACGACTCCCGCTGGGAGTTGCGGGTAACCGAGGCGTGTGGGGAAAGGTGGCGCTGCAGCTGGGCTGCCCACACCCCTCCTGTTGATCCGCTGCCACTCAGGGAGGGACCTTAGGCACCAGAGCTTCCAACCCGCACCTACAGGTGAGGGTACTGGGATCCAGCATGGCCAGGCCACCTTCCGGGCACAACTGGGGTCAAAACTTTGTGGCACAGGGGTCGAGTCAGTCTGGAGGGGGGTCTTTAAGGTTAGGAAAGACATTTGTCTGCAACAAGACTTCGGTGTGGCTCAGCCCAACTCAGAAGAGGGGATGGGCCAAATGACGCTTGCAGCTGGACAGAACCATATCTTAGGGTGCCTTCCTACCCCCTCTCCCTGGTCCTTGAGAGGAAGATCGAGGAATTTTGGGGGTTGGAATGTCACTTGACCGTCTATGGCTTTCCCTCTGACCATTGTTTTCTGGGCTGTCAGTAGGCTAGAGACCAGTGTAACGTCTTGTTCACCCATTCTGATTTCTTTTTTCTGACCTCCAGCTCTGGTGGTGCGGTTCCTCACCAAACGATTCATCGGTGACTATGAAAGAAATGCAGGTGAGGAAGTACATATGTACCAGTACCGCCGTTCCGATTTTCAGCAGTTCCCAAGCAGGTTCCTTCAGAGTGACAGTCTAAGCCACTTCCAACCCCCCACCCCCACCCCATGTACCCCTTCCATAACTGTCATCTGGGCACATTCCAAGCCCATTCATCGTTTTATCAAGTGCCTGAAAGTATTCCCTTCAGTATGTTTTAACTATAGGGACCCCAGTTGGAAGCACCCTTTGTACTCAAGAGCCTCTCCCTCCAATACACTCCTGCAAAAGTCATAAAAAAAAAAAAAAAAAGAGCTGGCCAACTCCTCCCCCTCCTCCCTCTCTGCTGGCTGCCTTTCCGAGGTGACCTTTTAAAGCAAAGGCCAAAGGACAGCGGTTGTAAACCTCTTTTTAAGTTCCCTTAACAAAGAAGAAATAACTAGATGGTCGGGTTTTTGGAGACAAGTTTCTGGATAAATGAGAGGGCAGCTATTTCAGATCCCCATGATTAGGAATTGCCTTTGGAGAAGCTAAGGGGCTTTCTGCCTATGATCTGTAAGCAAATTGCTGGATTTCTCTGACCACATGCAGTACCTATAGGAGATTATTTGGAATGAGCTATATAAACCATCCCCAGATAAGACAGGGCAGTCTTCTGCTTTGATATGGATTTGGCTATTACCTTGTCAATTTCTGTTCTACTTACTAAGTTTGGTTCTGCATTTACTAACAATATTTGCCATATAGAGCCATGATATCTAATACCTAAAATAGAAGTTTATTCAGAGTGATAAACTGCTAAAAATACAAATCCCACACAGTGAGTGAGAAAATGTACACTCCAAGGAAGTTACATTTCAAATTAAAGCAGGTTTCAAAACAACTTATAAACTTCACTGTGGTTTTAATAAATCCACAGACATGGGTTTAAAAAATTAGATTTAAGAAATCTGATTATATCCATTAAATAGAAGAAATGAAGTAGAGTTTATTTTTGTGCCTTTGGTACCTGTTTTTGTAATTTAAAAAAGCACAAATGATTTCAAAGCTATGCAAAAAGAAGAAACATCATCTTTGTTTTTTCCTTTGTCTTCATAGGTAATCTCTATACCAGACAAGTCCAAATAGAGGGTGAAACCCTGGCTATTCAGGTTCAAGATACTCCAGGTATTCAGGTGAGAAACTCTTCAGTGATGGGTGTAAGAGGACTCGACTTGGCTGTGGAATTGTTTGATTGTTTTCAAAGTACCTAATCCCTAATAAGGAAAGAAATTTGGGAGTCAGGTCTAGACTTTTACATATTGTCTGATGCTTCGATTATTATCTGGGTTCTGGTCAGTCATGTTGTTGTTGTTTTTATGTGCTGTGGAGTCGGTTCCGACTCATAGTGACCCTGTACAGGGTTTCCGAGACTAAATCTTTACGGGAGCGAATGCCTCATCTTTCTTCTGTGGAGCAGCTGGTAGTTTCCAACTGCTGACCTTTAGGTTCACAGCCCGATTTGTAACCACTGCGCTACCATAGCCAATGGTTAATTTGGGAGGTTTGGCTAAAGGGCAGAAATGGTCCCCCAGGAGGATTCAACACATCAGAAAAAACCAAACCAAATACACTGTGACTGGTAAGGTTTTCCTTCCTATGGCTAAAAAGGCACATGTGTCTTTGGAAAAATCCAACTTTCAGGAAAAAAGAAAAAAAAAATATATATATATATATGTATATATAAAACACAAAAAGTGTTTAAGGGCCAGATTTTTCTCCAAACATACATCTGTAAGCTTGCATTTGCAGAAAGGCGTGGTTTCTCTTGAAACAGGATGGGTATGGTTTGTAGGGCATGTGTTGTGTGCAGACTGTTGAGTAATCATAACACTGTAGTATTTCAGACTGTTGCATCAGGTACAGAAAAACAAATTGTATTAGTTGTTAAAAATCAAACATGGGAAGTATAGTTTCCAATAGGTAGAATCACTATTATAGTGTAGAAAGTTACTCTCTAGACAAAAAAGCCATGTTAGTGGGATTCCCCCCTCCCCCCTTCTTGAACTGGGCAGTTATCCAGGTTTAAATGCTTCCAGCTCCTATCTTTACTTCCCCAGACTTACTGTCTAGCCAGTTAATTTCCCATTTTGTGCAACTACAAAGTCTCTCTGCATGGCGTTCTCTGCAGGTCAATTTTCCACTTGCGTGTGGTGAGCTGCACTGTTATTTATTCCAACTCTGTGCAGCTGGATCAACATAGTGTCAGGAAGGCTGAAGTGTGTGGGGATCTAACTTGTTTATGGCCTGTAACCTGGCATTACCGGGATTCTCTGTGTAACCACGCCAGGGCTTTATGCGGCACTCTCGGCTTACTGGACCATCACCCTTCTTTTTCAGGTCCATGAGAATAGTTTGAACTGCAGCGAACAGATGAATAGGTGCATTCGCTGGGCTGATGCTGTAGTGATCGTTTTCTCCATCACCGATTACAAGAGCTATGAACTCATTGGTCAGCTCCACCAGCAAGTCCAGCAGTTACACCTGGGCACCCGGCTGCCTGTGGTGGTTGTGGCTAACAAAGCTGACCTTTTGCACATCAAGCAGGTGGACCCTCAGCTTGGACTACAGCTGGCCAGCATGCTGGGCTGCTCGTTTTATGAGGTATCCGTCAGCGAGAATTACAATGATGTGTACAACGCCTTCCACGTGCTGTGCAAAGAAGTGAGCCACAAACAGCAGCCTAGCAGCACGCCGGAGAAGCGAAGGACCTCCCTCATCCCCAGGCCCAAGTCACCCAACATGCAGGACCTGAAGAGGAGGTTCAAGCAGGCCCTGTCTGCCAAAGTGAGGACTGTCACCTCTGTCTGAAGCAGGGGTACTCTAGGGGGCTTGGTCTTCCCAGGAAGAGGGCCTAAGGTTCTTCCAGCACAGGAACGCTGAATGCTGGCAGTGATCCAGGGTTCCAGAAAGGGCTGGAGCAGAGATGCCAAGAGGACCTGTGCCACTGTTGCAGAAACAGAAGCGCTGTTCTGAGCAGGACAGAATTGATGCGGCTTCAAGGAGCCCACCGAGCCATGCTCTGAATATGTGAAATATACTCTACGCCTTTTTCTTTGGAATGAGTGGGGAGGGCATCATCGCCTTGGTGGTTTTTGTTCTTAACCACCTTGTAAATGATGAGCAATGGTAGTGTCCCAAAATATTATACTGATGTGATTGATAGTGGAAACGGAAAACCAGATTAGGCACCCACATGCTTTCCATGCCCCCCAAAAGAGGAAGAATTATTGTTGTCAGTATGATTTGCATGTCAGGGACACTTTCTATGACACTGTTCTTTTCAGAATGCCTTTCCAACCTGAAGGATGCCTAGATTTCTTCCTTTGAAGGAGGAGGGATATCCTGCCCACCTCAAAGAAAAAACTAGGTTGTGTTTTTTTAAAAAAAGCGATTGTATGAAAATGTTCTCTGTACAGCTGGCATGTAAGCTTACATTGGCAGAAAGACTGCTGAAAGGCGCAGATTCTCCTGACGCAGGATGGGTATGGTGTATTGGGTGAGTGTAGCACAGCTGTCGACTAAAATCTCTCAGCCACAGACTGAGTAATTGTGAGACTGTATAATTTTACAATTGTTGCATCAGATATAGAAAAAGAAAATCATTGATTTTGGTGTGATTTGTGTAAACAGCTTATGGCAATGACATTGGGTTGCTTTCTCAGCCCAGGTGAGTCATGGCAATGGGTGGTTACGCTTCAGAAACACTACGTGACAGTGAGTGACAGATGCACTTTAAAAAGCCCCTTGTGCTTTGGCTTAAACTGTAATTAATTTATTTCAAGTACAATAAATCCTCATTTCTAAAGAGTACATGGCTGCCCTTTGTTTGTTATTGTGTTAAAAGTTTACCCACCAGAACATACATCAATTCAACAATTTCTACATTGGTACCATTCCTCAAGATTGTTCCTCTTCCGTTAACATAAACTTCTTGAGTTGCTGTTGTCTATTTGATCCCAGAGAGTTCCTTAAAAGAGCCCAATGTTCAAAACAGTCTTTGCAAGTTAAGCTAAATGATTATTTTAAAAACTTCAGGGGATATTTTTGGTTTAAGGTTTAAAAGTTACCTCAGAGCAATAGTTTCGGGGGTTGTTTCATCTAGCCTGCGGTTCTAGAAAATCTGGATTCCACGGAAATTTCAAATGCTGTTCCTCAGTTTCTCCCTTTTTTGGTCAGGATTTTGATATAGATTCTTTGATCAAAACATTCAGTAATGGTAGCTGGGTACTACCTAGTTCTTCTGATCTCATGGCCTGACTTGGTTTTTTCTTCAAATGTTAACCTTCTGCCCTTCACACAAAGTATTTTGTATTTGTTGAGCATGCAGGAGTCCTGGTGCAGTGCTGTACAATAAGCACTGGACTGCTAACTGCAAGGTTGGCAGCTTAAACCCACCAGTCACTCCTCAGAAACAGGACACAGGGTGGCTGTGAGTCAGAACTTATTCAACAGCACTTAACGAGGAAGTCAGGCATTATGCCTGCCAGGGGCTGTCTCTTAAATCACACACCAAACCAATGCAGTGTGTTCTACCATCCCAGTTTTACAGATGAAGAAACAGACAGACACAGCAAGTTAAATAGCTCATCAAAGGCAGCTGCAGCCTACAGTAAGTGCTGTGAAGTTTCGTTTCTGCTGTATATTCAAGAGGAGTAGATTTCCTGTGATTTTTTCCTTCAGGGTCCCCCAGGAAAACTTTAGACATGTCTGACTGTACGTTTTGTGCTGTTGGAACATCTCTCAGCAAAGCCGGCAAGGTTTCTCCACACATAGCTTATTTGGCAAACCTTGGGGTATACTGCTTTCAGAAAGTTCACCTCATTCTTGTAGAAGCTCAGAGCATTCCAGGAGCCACTCCCAGGGTGCTTTTGCCACAAGTACATGTGCTAAACCTGCTAGGCCTCTCATCTGCTTGCAACTGGGGCTGGGAGACCTTTCATGCAAGCTGAGTGAGTCACCATCTTTATGGGCAAATAATCACACCTTACATTTGTTTGAGTAGTGCTTTCATGTACCTGCCTTCAGTTAATCCTCAGGATACCCCGTGAAGCAGGAGCGGGAGGGGACTAAGTGGGGGAGGTTTACTACCATTTACAGATGAAAAAAAACAATCTCAGAATTTTGGGTGATCTCCTCAAGTTCACACAAAGGACCTGAATGGATGTCTTCTGACTATATATTCCTTCATAAGGCGGCCCAGTGGTGTAATAGTTCAGTACTTAATCTGCTAACCAAAGGGTTGGAGGTTGGAACCCACCCGGTGTTTCCAGCGGGGAAAAGACTGGGTGATCTGTTGGAAAGATTACAGACAAGAAAACCCAATGGGGCAGTCTGCTGTGTTACATGGCGTCACCGTGAGTCCGAAATGGACTCGATGGCTGCTCACACCAGCATTCCTTTATATCACTTCATTTGGGGGCTATTGCTGCATATATAAAGGAGCTCTGGTAGCATAGTGGTTATGAATCAGGCTGCGAACTGCAAGTCCAGCAGTTTGAAACCACCAGCTGCTCCACAGGAGAAAGATGAGGCTTTCTGCTCCCGTAGATTTATAGCCTCGGAAACCCTGTTCAGTGTCGCTGTGGGTCAGAACCGACTGGATGTCACTTAACAACAACAACAAAGCTATATATATGGGAACCTGTGACCACAGGCTAGCAGCTGAAATGAATATCTAATGAGGGCCTGGCTTTCCCACCTGGTTTCTCCCTGGGTAAACACCTGACTCTTCTTGACAGGGCTTCTGGTGATGTCCCAAACCTTTAGCTGGAGGGTAATTTTCTACATTGCAAGTCGAACTTAACCTCTGAGGAGGGTGGGAGATCCTAACATATAATTCAAAAAGCATCTCATATCAAACACAGTGCCAAGTATCTCCAAGGACTGGTGTCTAGTCACATCTATTTCTATTCCTTCTTGATGAATGTATAACAATGTCCAGTGGGTGGGAGGCTAATCTTAATATATTCAACAATGCTTTTACCCATGTTTTGGAAGTAAACAAGGTAAATAGTTTTCACATGGGCTCTGCACTCCCATTTCTTATTCGTGTACTGCTCACCCTATTCCCTTTGTGTCTGCCAACCTCGAGTGCAGGCTTCTCCAGCTTTCTTGCTGAGCTGTGCCCTCCTAACTCCCTACCTCCTTTGTCACCTGGGAAAGGGAAGGCAGGGATGTGTGTAGGTTGGGGAGGGATGGAGAGGTAGGGGGAGAAGGAAAAGCAATTAGAATGTGCCAGATTATAAATGATCTCCTTTAATCCTTTAAAAAATCGTATAAGGTAGTTATTCCATTTCCATTGTTGTTGTTATTAGGTGCTGTCGAGTCGGTACCAACTCATAGCGACCCTATGCTATGCACAGCAGAACGAAACACTGCCGGACCCTGGGCCAACCTCACTACTGTTAGAGATGAGAAAACTGAGCCTCCATTGCCTAAATTACCTGCTGTCGGCCACACAGATGGTAACAAACAGATAATAACAATTACTGCTTGCCTAGAACTCTGATCTCTACAGAATAGCTTCCTGTTGTCTCTGTTACCATTTTGTGAGAGAACTCCATTGGTGTGCTCAGTCGTGAAACCCACAGTCCCAGGGTGGTATGTTAGGGATGGCGTCCCACCTACATCAACCCTCTCAGGAGGTGATTGTTGTTAAGTGCTGTCAAATCGATTCTGACTCATAGTAAACCTGTATAGGGTTTCCAAGGAGCATCTGGTGAGTTTGAACAAATGACCTTACAGTCCAGTGCTTTTTCTGCAGTGCCACCACCAGGACTCCGTCTCAGGAGACATGTACCTAAAACTCACTGCCATCAAGTCAATTCCGACTCAACAGCCACTGTAGGGTTTCCGAAAACTGCTGACTGAGTGATTTAGCAGCCCAAGGTCTAACCCACAGTGACGGCAGGTTTCCTTTCAGGAGGTAAGCAGGTACCGTTATTATCTAAACTTTCCCAGCGTGTTGGTGGTGGTGGTGTGCCGTGGAGTCAGACCCGACTCATAGCGACCTGAGGCAGTAAATCTTTACAAGAGCAGAAAGCCTCATCTTTCTCCTGCGGAACTGCTGGTAGTTTCAAACTGCTGACCATGAGATTAGCAGCCCGACTCGTAACCACTATACTACCAGAGCTCCTTTTTCCCAGTGTAAATGCTGATATGCACAGTTCCTGAGTGTCTGAGCTGGGACTAGAATACAGAGAAGATTTCAGGTCCATTTCTAGCCACTGCTCTTTTGGAAGGGAGGCAAGAGTTTGATCCAGGACTCCCCTAACTCCTCCTATTTCAGTTTATTTATTGAAAACATATGTGCCAGGCATGGAATGAGGCATTAGACAAAACTGACTTACTGTCTATAACCACATCAGGATTCACCTTCGGTCCCCTTCTACAAGTGAGGAATAGGGAGACTCAAGACTAACACTTGACAAATCTAGGACTTCCCAGCTCTGACTCTAAGCAGAGGCCTCCCTGCCCTGATCCACCTTAGCTTTCCTGCTTTCCTTAGCCTTTCTTTTGTTGCCTTAAGCTTGTGGCTGCTCACTAGCCCCAGGCCCACCACGCTGCCACAACTACATCTGCTGTTGTCATTAGCCAGCGGCTCACTGGCCTCCAGTCCCAGCTCACTAATAAAGACGTCCAGGCAGGGGTGGGGGCCTCAGCACAGCCCGTCTGTCTCAGAACCCGATCCATGTCTGTCGTGATGTCTGGCTTTCGAGTTTCCTCCCTGCTTCAAATCAAAAACATTCGGCACCCTCTCTAGCCAGCCTGGCGCTGCATGCTATACCGAGACAGCGAAACCTTCCCAG